GTAATAGATTATAATTAAAATATTTTTCGGAATCATTCAGTTAAACCAGTTAAACAATCATGACTTTTGTCCCATCTCCCAATCTAAGCACAGTGCCTTTTGGCTGATTGAGATGGTTTAAGATATTTTGTTTTGCATATAAAGATGAGATAAATATTTCGCTCCCTCTTGTTCTATCGAACTGCAGGAGAGAATCAGGATCATAGACACTTTCACATGTATTTTTTTTAGAGATCTTAGAATTTTTTCACACAATATTTCTGACTTCGATCTTGTGAGAAGATAGGCTTCTATATGTTTATTAGTCTTGAAACATGAGTTATCCCAATGATATTTTATCAAGTCTTCAGGTTTAATCTCATACCCATATCTTCACCATCCATTGAAATATGTTTTTTTGGTTTTACATCAGTGATCTCTACTAATTTCCAACAATCGAAACAAATAGCCATTTTGCTATTGTAAATATTAGGTCGGTGATAACTAATGGCAACTTCTCTCCCTTCGTAGTTATCATAGTATGTCTTGGTTACTCCTTGCTCAGATGATCCGAAAAGGCAGAATACATGATAATAGCTTTTATGACCTTCAGTAATCAATGCTTGCAAATCATCTTTTACACGAATAGCCCATTGTTGTGGAGTTTTATGTGATCTAATTATAGATAAATTATCAAATTTTTTTTCTGCCTCAAGTGCCTTTTCAAAGTCAAAAGGAGTGCTATAACCAATATATGCATAATATTTTTTAATATATTCCATTTCATAACCAGGACGAAGATTAGTGGGTTTAGGCACAAATTTATTAAAAATCTTGTCTAATATAATATAAATACATTTATTGGGTCTTACTCTGTTAATATGAGTTCCTGACATATTAAACGATTTATAGCATTTTTAGCGAATTCTAGCAATTATTTAGCAACTTATACTAGATAATATCATCATTCAAATTTATACAGATTTGTAGTCGATTTGTGAAACTACATGCTATAGATGGCTAAATTAAATTATGCACAGCGCTTCGGCTAAATCAGTTTGTGATACAACATATATCATATCACATGTATCACCTTAGTTTCCCTGCCAGTTCCTCAATAGTTCTAGGAATGTTTCAGGAGCTGGCGAGATTCTATAAATCACGAGATGATCGGCCAATCAGATTTTGCCACCTTGATCTATTGACATGATAGCTAAGCTACTGTTATTATTTGATTTAAATCATTACATCGATCAAATTAATTAGTCTCGCAATATTCTAACACATCACTTGATATTTCTTCATAAAACAGGCTTCAATTCCCTTGAGAAACTTCTTATCATGTAAAAAAATGTCTTTTTTCGAGTGATCTGACGCTCAACTTCGCATTCTCATTGATGAACGAAAACAAAGAAATGCCGAGTATCATGCCACTTTAAACAAAAAGAAATGACTTTTTTGGGAGGAAATCGCTAATAGGATTAATGAGCAGGAAAATACAAACTATTTCATAGGTGATGATTGCCACAAGAAGTTTTTGCAACTTACGAAAGCTTTTTACGTAAGTAGCTTAGAATGTCCGCTTAGTTAGCTTTGCTAACACTGTTCGGCTAATAATACTTATTATTATTTTTTTTAGACAGCGGAAAAATATAAAAAAGGGACTGGGAACAAGAGGAGCCTAGTTGGAAAAGAGATCTATGGGGAATTTTCATCAAAGTTCTGGCTAAAGCCTGATAATGATTTTAGAAAAAATATTTCGAGAGGTTTTTCATTAATAGTAACATAATAACATATTTATTATTTGTTAGAACTATTATTCGGAAGAGAACACAGTGAAAATGTTAAGAGACCAAGCAGGGTGAGTTCTTCATCTCGCTCATCAATCTCTAGAACATCAGACATCGCGGATTTATTTGAGATCTCCCCACTAATGTCAAGACCAGTAATGCCTTCTATTGAGACTCCTGTAGTTTCTGCCATAGGTACTTCAAGCAGACCTGCCACTCCAACACTCCCCGCATTTTCTCAAAATGCGAATGTAATTAATGTTACTATTAATTATGGTGAGAAAGGAAAGAGCTTAGAAGAACAATAAGAAATAAGCTAAATACATTATTTTTTTGAGATGCAAAATATATTGATGGGTTTGAGTTATATAAAATTTTTCTTTAGCGTTTTATTTCATAACATATTGCACTATGTTTTAAGCTTTATTACAGATTCGCATTTGTATATAATAAAAAATCAAAATTAGAGGTTCTTTGGGACCAAATCTTTATCATGTTTTTGTAAAATAAAGCAATCGTAATTACATGTTAAAAAAATACTAGGCCCGATGTGGACAGATCTAGGGATCGCAAAAGTTTATTTTATTTTTTTCATTGATATACATATGCAAAGCGCTTCTGGCTAATCCATTAGTACTATCATGACGTTAAGTGGTTCGGGATGATCAGCTGGCTAATTTAGTCATGTGGATTTTATTCAAAATCTTATTGGGAGAAGTGTGACATTAATGTCACAGCTAAACCAATGATATCTGGCAAAGTTTTGAAACAGTGTTATGGGTTATGCCGATTAATATGATAGAATGGAAACTGGAAACTTTATGATTTTAGCTCTGAGAGCCGTGACATTAATGTTACACTACTTTACAAATAAAAAATCAAAAATGGTCGTAGTGGAGGGTCTCAGTAGAGACCACTCTTTATTATTAAAAGTTATATGAAATACATATAGCAGTAGGTACTATTTATTCGTTTAATTTAGCAATAAGAAAATCGACATTATCTGGGGATAGATTTAAGATTGTAGTAGCATTAAAAGACTTTAACCGTTCTATTGCTTCTATACCACCAACATTACTAAAGAGCCTGAAAATCTTTTTACCCCTTTCCTTTTTTTTCGAAGGTTAGTCTCGGTAAGTTTATCTTGCACAGAAATCTGATTCATAATTCTAACATTAACTTTAGCATTAGATACATTCTCATTACAAGTTTTCCTAAAATGATCGAACAATTGCTTAATAGCTTGACCAAAATTATAATAGCATCGAAGCAAATCATAAGTGGTTCTTTGAAGATTGTCTTCAGTAGTGTCAATTTTATTATATAAATCGAGAAAATCAAGCGAGTTTACGTTCTTCTCAGGGATACTCGACTGCAAAGTGATGAGGGGTCTCAAGAGAAACCATCTTCTAGGGACTCAGGAGAAGTCAACTCCATAAATAGTTTTTTCAATGTAGGGGAATCATTTCTATCAACCTGTTTCCTGGTCTGCTTCGCTTTTTTATTCGAGACTTTTTCAGAAGCAAACTCATTAGAACGTTTTTTCTCCGCCTCGATTCCTTCAGATAATTGGCAAATAGAGCATAGCTTTTGCGGGTTATCAATGCAATCGTAATGCACAGCATGCTTACAGGGCAAAAATACGAGCGGTCTTGAGGGTGCTCGGGAAAAGACTTGGGTGATATCTTCAGAACATTTTGCACACGTTAAACTGCTTCGTTTACTTTTAGTTTGTTAATACACGGTAACTTCCACATCTTCCATAGCACCTTCATGTATTGTTGGCGAAGTTATTGTAAACTTTTCGCCTATCAGGGTTGATATAGCCGAAACACCGCTTGATTGGAATGATTGTGAACCCCTCCTAGCTTCTATAGTGTCAACGTTCTTTCCACAACCAGAGAACGGGCAAGAGTTCAGAAGCTTTTTTTCTATACAAAGTCTATGGTAAGTATGGCCACAGGCGAGCGTGATGAATCCCGTAATGGGGAATGAAAAAATTTCCTCATTACATTTGGAACATGGCCCTAGTTCTGGAACGTCAATATCTCTGACATCTTTCTCTTCGAGACTTTTAAGTATTTTATATCCAAGGATTCTAAGATTGGTAAGATAGGACGATGACACACTACTTTGCCCTGAACCCGACATGATGGATATACTACTAGCTTTTGCCAATACTTCTTGCCAACATGATTCATACAGCCACTTTTATAGCACTTGTAATTTTCGCAGGAGAAAACATTCCCCGGATTTTTACCAGCAATTACGCACTACATTTCGTCATTTGTTAATCCCTTGCAAATCACCTCCCTTGTACCTTTGGTACTGCGAAAGATAAGCCAACTGTTTCGTGAAATATGCTCCCTTGATCTGTTGATCTACTGGAGAAAGTCTATCATTTTAACTTACACCGATAACTTATCTGATATGTTTTCTTTTTTCGAGAAAGCCGAGATGACGAAGGATTAGCATACACATCCCCAAATCTCATATGCAAAATAAGGATTGTCGGAAAAATATCCATACCCGAATATTGTTTTATTAATATGATAATAGCGTGGCCGGAGACATGACATGCAAAATAAAGTTGAAAAAATTATGCGAATATATGCTAATCTTACGTCGCACAGCCTAGTGTTTCAAGCGAAACTATTTTTCAAAATCCGAAACGTTTCGCCCGGTGAATTTTCATATAGTCCGAAACTTGTCTGAAACATCCGAAACTCCTAATTTGGAAATATTTTGTAGATCAAATGGGCGAAACTAGTTTCGCCCGAAACACTAGCACAGCCCCTATTCTTCGGCAAGAATTTACCGATACTATACTGCGCATTTACGTGATCGATCTGACATATTCTTCTGATAAGATGGGGTAAACGTGACAAAATGTCATGATCAGAAATATTTTGCTCAATTCTGATCGTTCCCCAAGGGAACGGTTTTTTTTTTGTCATACAGAATAATTCAAAAAATTTCAATCTGTGGTTGGTAAGTGCTATTACAGTATGTATACAAAATTAGCATATATGCATTTTTTTATTTTTAATGCGATTACACACTCACTACACATGTGAACAAAAAAGAATTTTATTACAGTATATGATTGGTTATATTATAGCACTCTGCTTGTTACAAGGGCGCAATGGCAAAATGCAGTACACTAAAAATCATTTGATATTAAAAGTCATACGAAACCGAACAGGAATAAAATTGCTGATTTATCCACTGTCACTTCTTAACTTTTGGGACCTTCGTTGGTGATGACTTTGTTGGGGTAAGGTCATTAAATTTTCTCTTCAAAATCTGTATTGTATCACCCTTATATTTTGTTGTCATAGTATTTTCCACTTCTGTTTTAATGATCATCTATAACAGAATTAATTTAGAATATATCACGACTAAGGATGTTTATAAAAATAAAACTTACCATAAATTCCAGTAATTTTAACATATCTGTTTTCATCATAGGAATTTGATCCAGATTAGAAGCAATATGTAAACTTCCAAATTCCTCATATACGTACACTCCGTCTTTCCACATTATAAGCATTGTAATTTCGAAAAGGTAACCTAAAATTCCAAAGACTACACGATTATTATAATTTATGTCCCCTTTCCCCATAGCCTTTAAGATTCTAACATTCAGACAATCCCGCATTTCCCGATATAATTTAAAAGAATCCGTCGCTAACTTTGTGAGGTCAGGTTGACTAGGTGGCCCGGCTTGTTCTCCAATAAAAATTTCTTCGTTATTTGTCCACATCCTTGCCAGCAAGTCCGCATATTTTCCATCAACTATTTTGTCTGTAGCGTGATTATGCCCGTAATTTTTTCTATATTTGGAAGCCATTACAGGGACTTCCATGCTAAGAATAAAAAAAGTAGACTCAATTATATAATTGAAATAATAAGATAGACCAATTAAATTCAACACTTACGCCCTCCAATCAAGACCAACAAAGTCTTGTAACGCTTTCGAAAAAAAACGATGGCCAAATTCTGACCAATAATGATGTTCGCTGGTGTCTGAGGCATTTATATCTGGAATTGGCTTTGTAAATGATTCGACCCTGCAATATATAGTATTAGTTATAAGAGGTAATAAATAATAAAACCTTGATATTCAATACTTACAATGGAAGCATAACTCGATTTAAATATTTTTTTAATTTTACTAGCTCTTCGTTATCTTCTTCTTTTAAAACATTTAGCTCTTCTGTAACGCGAATCCAATCAGTTATACTCTTTTTTGATCCGCTTTTTGTTGTCTCCTATAAAGTAATATAATCAATAACAACTGATGTAATGATAAACACAGACTATATGATATTATACCTTATAATAGTCTTCAACTGTATTATGCCAATCTTCTGGTAATTTGGCCTCTCTCTTTGGTTTTTTTGATAGTAATGTTATAAACTCATCAATTGATAAAAATTTTGCAAACCCACTTTCTCCTCGAATATCCATTACATCATCGTTAGCACAACTATAAATTGAGATGATATTAACTATGACATTATAGGATACATCTTAAAGTAGTTCAAACACTCACGAAAGTGTATTATTTTTTTCTAATTCCTTATATTTTATAAAATGTGGAATAAATTCGCCGAGATACTGCTCAATGCAAAAGATTGAGTATTTACGATATACGCCAAAAAAAAATCCGTTAAAATAATATCTTCAATCAAATACCTTGGATTCATCAAGTCTCGCTAAGTTTTTAGCGGACATTATTAATATATTTTCATTGATCGATATCTCTTGGCTGTATCCATTTGTAACAATTTGATGAGGAGGCGTATGTGAACCTGATGATGCTTCGGCTCTATTATTGTTTATGAATGGATCATCGTCCTCCGTATCATCGCTGATAGCTTTGGCCTGTTCGCACAACAAATAGTAGTGAGAGGAGTTCATGATAAACAGGTCACAGTTTATTTTGTTATATACCTTTTCTTGACGTTTGTACGAACAATCATCTTCCATAATTTCTAGGCGTCCCGTAACCTTCTCCCGCACCAAATGTACTTGTTTATCTTGTTGGAGAGTCGAGCGTATGGTGGAGGTAGTAAGTTCCTCCTGCAACAACGAAAAAATATGAACAAAAGTTAGTATTTCCATCATGCCATAATTATTTCCTGTTAGATTGACAGATCAGCTACTTCCATACCAACAAAACCGAGCGTTCAGTTATGGCTACAAATTTCCGTTGTTGTGCTGACCAGAATTTGGTAACTAAATTCGATTGTTTTTCCTCCTATTAACGATACAATATTTAGTATTAGTAAGAGCTAAGGGAAAAAGTATTAAACGTTAAACCGTAAGCGTAACTCATGATTACGAGGATAAAACCTCCCGAGACAAAACTCATGCACTCCTGAACAAAATCAGGGTGTTGGGTGGTTGAACACAGGACTAAACCCCATCCGAAGACTATTACACCTCGGACTTATCCACTTGTAACCAAGACACTCATGCACAAAAACCATCCGAGACAAAACTCATTCACTCCCGAACGAAATCAGGGGCATTGGGTGGTTAAATGCAAGTCGCGTTTTTTGGCAGGACAGAACCACCCGAGACAAAACTCATCCACTCCCCGAACGAGATCAGGGTGTTGGGTGGTTGAACGCAGGACTAAACCCCATCCAAAGAACTGTCGCTCCTTATACCCATCCATTGCCAACATAAGAAAGAAAATACTCAAAGAAAAAATACATAACTTGTAATAAAGCAAGCGCCTTTTCGGCTCGTTCAATCGCAATCTTGGGTGCTTCATCACAATTGATTATACTTGTAAGGTTGCGAACATACCGCTTATGTTCTCTGCATTTATCGACTAGAAAATCTTTACACTGCTGTCGATGAAGTAAAAACTCCGGCAAAGACCACCATTCACGGTCTAAAGTAAAATAGTCAGGATCGCTTAACGGGATAACTAGCGACAAAAAGAAGATACTTTAACAATCACAGATGAAAACAAAGCGTACTGGGAAGAGAGTATTAACTTACCTTCCATTTAATATTTGTTATTTGCTAGTGAAAAAATTTTTTTCCAAGCCACATAAGAAGTTGACGTTTGACGTAAATGGACATGATTTTCTGATAGATAAATAATCACATGATTCTGATCGTACAACTTTAAATTGCACGCGAAACTTTATTAATTATTCAGTAAAAAAAGTTGAGGTAGAGAAAAATGAAGTAATATATGATGCTATCAAAGAGGGAGGGAGTACGCGGATCCTAGGCCATTTAATGCGAGTCCCAGCATCAAGTTATTTCTTTGCTTGAAAAATATCTATAGCTAATAAAATTATTCTCTATCTATACGCCTATCTACTTGGCTAACTACGAGATTCTCACCCCCACACCCATATCTACGCCTATCTATATCACTCATTCACTCCCACTCACAGATATGTAAAAGATTAAGTTCCGTAAGAGATCTTTTCCATGATATATTAATTTCGAACCTATAGAACCGGAGAATAAAAATAAGTATATGCCCATAATTTTTGATAAAAAATAAATGTTATACTTCATTTCATCCTTACCATGATATTTCATTTTTGTAGCATTCCACTCCGCCAAATATTTGAGAAAATTATTGCTTAATGTTTTTTGGATCGAAAGATTGTTGCTTGATTTACTGCGCCAGATGTTTAATATAAGACATGTGATGAGAATCAAGGCAGAGTCACAATTTTACTGCGCTGATGATGCCGATTAGATTAGATAATACCCCATCACGGGGAATTATTTTTATGATTAAAATTTTATTCGATATACTGCGCCAGACTTCGAGAATCAGGATACTAAGCCACAGCAATTTGATTAGACGCGTGTCAGCGATCCCGATTTTCTCAACGAATATTAAAAGGATCAAGAAAGGTAATATGTCCGTTTTATTTTTGAGCATCTATATAGGTGGGAAAATCGATTAATATC